GTTTGCTCCAGACCTGTTGGTAAAAATTAGTGCTAACATTGTAATAAAAGATGTGATTCGGATCCTTAAATTGATAGTTGAGAGCACTGGTCAAGAGTGAAGTGAGCAGGATGGGCTCCAAGACATACACAGATGCTGCCACAACACAGTGCTGGATACTGTCCTTGCCCACCTGCTCTGGCATCCAGAAAGGTTGAAGAAGCAGGAACACTGCAAGAAGTTTGTCTCTTGGCTATACACCTCGCTGCTCCTGCTGGGTTTGTCCCTTGTATCCGTAAACACACACACCATGCAAGAATCAGCCTGGGCAACTCCAACTCCAGAGCAACTCCATTGCAATGTCTTCTGCATCTATCTCCCAATTTCTTATAAGAGTTGCCAAACCTCTCCAAGAGGAGAAAAAGCACAAATCTTGCCTTCATTTGGGCTTGGGATTTTCTCATTTTGCCCACTGCACAGTGCCAATACTTTCAGGTCCATCAAAGACTTTCCTTGGACTTACTGTGATTTGCCAGCTCATAGGCAATATCACGTGTGTCTTCATCACCTGAAAAACATCTTCTACCTAAAGACCTCAAAAAGCTGGAGTCCTTTCTTGCTTCTCCACATTTTCAGTATTCATTTTTCCTTTTCCCATTACTCCAGCCTTTTCTATTCACTATTTCTCCTCCTTCCATTCAGCCATTCTAGTGGCCTCATACCAAGTGACAAAATTTGAGTTATTTTGCAGGTTTGTTTGTTCTCACCTAAGATGAAGTGTTTCTCCTTCCTTTCTACTCTCTTAACTCATGAAATCAAGATCTTCACTAATCAGGGTGAACAAACTTGAAATGTCCTCCCATGGCTCCTTTGCCCAGCCTTCCTACTTGATTTGAGGAAACTCTCATGTTGAATACAAGAGATCATGCACTACAGAAAAATTTTAATGGAAAATAAAACCTCCTAACATCACCAGCTAATTACAAGTTGCACTAAAGTACGACACTGTGGCTATATTGCAGGGTAAGATAAAAGTGTGCACGGATTTTCCTGTGTATTTCAATATCCTCTTATTGACAGGAGATAGCATGACTGGTCTACAACGAGAGACCAGGAAATGTTTTATTTCATCAGAGTAAGGTTAACAGATGGCTTGTTAAAGTTACAACTTCTTTAAACAGACCTGTCACCAAAAATGATGAGCACGACAACAAAAATAATATTGATATAAGCTCATTGCAAAATTAAAATGGAGATTGCATAACCCAAAGCATAGAATAACTAACTGCCACCACTGCAACACAGAGTATCAAGGTGCGTTTACTTTTTTAAGGTTTCCTTGGAAATTGGATGAAGGGACATAAATTGGGGGAAGTGTCAAAGACATGGGACTTCAGTTATTACAGGGACAAACATGCAGCTGGTCACTATGCCTACTCCACATATATGAATAAACTACCATGGATGTATGAGCATGTTATATCAAGGGTTGGATATTAATCCCAGTAGTAGCAGAATATATTAATCACACAGAAATTTTAATTTTGCATAAATACGTTTTCATATAAAAATTCTGAAGTCAAATGCAAGACTGTAGATTCATACTTTTCCTGACTGCTATTACAGACTGAGCAGGGTTTTGTTCTCCTTGAGTAAAAACAGGCAGGTATCAAGTAGGTCCCTTCCCTCAATACCTAACTAGTTATCAAATCCAGGAGCACGCTGCAGTCTGCTGTGCTCATTTCAGATCAACGTGCAACATAAGCATCAACTCTGTAGGACTCTGCTTTCACATCTCACCTCTGGCAGATTCAAGACCTGTGCAGGGCAAGGGCATGCAACACCTGAAACTGCCTTACCTACCTTGTGAAACAGCTCCCTGATGCCTCCGCTAGCCAGCCAGAGGAGGGGAATGGGGGAGTATAAATTAAAACAATAATAATGTAATAAAGGAATATTAGATTGCCCACCTGCTGTGGTTTTTAAGACCCCACCTTCACCTTAAATTTGCCCTCATTTCCATGAGAGCAGGAAAAACTACAAAGGAGATTCAGTTTTGAAAACAGAAAAAGTAATCAATATTGTACTTTTTTGATAGGTGACTGCACACTAACTATTCCACCTGGACAGACCTACAATGCTAACGTTGTTACTGACAATTCTTTTCTTCTTCAACATCACACTTGCTATTTATCCCCTTTATCACTATTCTTGTGGTTTTCTTCCTGTTTTCTTTCTTTCTCCAGCATCCCTTCTTCATCTCTTTTCTTTCTCTAGTACTAGTCTTACTTCTCTTCACAGCAACCTACCACTGTTATCTTTTCAAGCATTCTTTTTTGCATTAGTCTTTGTATAAAATTAATCTCTCAATTTTCTGACAAATAATGAACATGTGCATATAACTTCCAAAGACCTGAACTGGAAGAAAGCAAGCAAACAGAACCCCAGTGACTTTTTCCTAGGTTTGCTCATTTTCTTCAACACAACACAGCAACCCAGAAACAAACCTTTTCTATTAACAATCTCAGATGTGTCAGCTGCTTGCATTATAAAACCTTTTTGAGAGCTAAATAATTGAATCAGGGAGACAAATAAAAGGAGAAATAGGAGGCATATTTCCCATTGCAAAACCTCTGTTGATAGCTATTAGAAATAACCTGGTTTATTTTACAAACCTTGTGATGTCAGGTTCACTTAGCACATGCCTTGTCAGCTCTGACTGAGGAGCACACTAACCGCATGGCTGATGCAGGGGGCTGTGACTGGGGAGCAAACACACAGCTGCTCACTGTTTGTTTGCCTTCACATGAACGAGTTTTGAGAAACTGAATAATATTACAGCAGACTGGTCCTTGCCCCAGGTGTCCTGGTTCTTCCTTTCTCATTGAGTTTGGCAGAGCGTATGAATTTCATCATCATCTAGAACAAAATAATAAACAAGCATCAAAAAAAGATAAAAATGTCCAAAATTTCATTTTGAGGGGAAAATAAAGGATATGCTAAGGAACTGCTGTGACCAAGAGATTCTCCTCTACAAACAAAAGCAAATTCCTGGGCATAAAAGGTAACTGCTGCTTTTGTAACTCTCAGTAACAGCCAAAATAGTGGGAAAGAGCATGGATTTTCAAAGCAAACAAACAAAAACTACAGTAACATCCATCCCTTTTCATACCAGTGTAATCAACTAGGAAGATGGCTGACTTACAAATAAAGATTTTTTTCTGGGTTTGGTTTTTTTTTTCAGTTAGCTTAATTACAGCAAAAGGGAGTTACAAGAGGTCAATCTTAACACATAATCTTACAGAAAAATTAACCACCATAGCAGTTACAAGAATATGAACTAAAAAAGTAATGGCAAAAAGGAAGACTGATCTGAATATGGTTCAGTCTACCAGAAAGGACATGTTTGTGACATGAATACTGGGCAAGCATTAGGTTATCAACAGCAGCAGCAACCTCACACCATCAAGAGAACAAATCAAGCATTCTAATATAATTGGGTTTTTCTCCAAATACTAAATTTATTTGTTTTTACGGAGCTTTGCCCCTCCAGAAAAAAGTTACTATGTAGGATAAAGTTGCCAAATATACATAAAATGTGAGTCAAAAAAAAATGTTAGAATCCTATATTTGATTGAAATTATTATGTGGATCTATTAAGCCTAATTTAAAATAAGGCCTTCCAGTCTGATTTCTACTTCTATTTTCTAGGTGTTCTCATGTCACAGTTGACATGCAGTTCTATCCAAGCAGGACTGAGTTTCAGTTAATTTAGTTCAGTACTTGTAATACCTACTTTTTGTTCAGAGCTTTGCAGTGACAAGCACGTCTCATTTTCCCCCAAAGGACAATGTTATGGAGGTAATCAGATCTTGGGTCTGGAAGAAAGCTGCTCACCTGCTTGTGGACAGACATCCATTCTCAATCAACTAGCTCAGAGAAATGTGGCTTGCTAGCTGGTGTCAAAGCACAGCTAGGAGAAGGAACAAAGAAACCCCAAATGGCAAAAAAACAAACATACCCCCTACACACACCCCTCACCCCCTAAAAAACCAGACACGTGATGTTCATGAAGCACAGGCTAAGGGAGGTCCCTGCTGGCAAGATGATGAAATACATGCACAGCATTTCCAAACACACCGTTCACCTGTTAACGCTGTTTCTTCCAAGCCTGACTGCCAAAAACCACTGTGCCTTACCTTGCATTCAGTTTGGCATCAGCCCTTTCTTCCTAAAGGCAGTGGTGGCCCACCCATGCAGCACAGACCACAAAAGAACAGCTATCTGGTGGGAAAAGGGGGAATTTAGTTTCCATTTCACCATGTTTATCAAAGATAAAAATTCCCAGCATACCTGGATTACCATCCTGCTGAAGCAAGGCTGACTGACCTGTTTCTATAGCTTCTTCTGTCACAGAAGAGCACAAAGATGGGACTCAGCTGGTTTCCCACTAACATTGGTCATTTTTTCTACTGCATGACAAGCACTAGGTATCATCCCACTCAGGCAATAATTTTATCAGAGAAATCATGTATCTCACCTACTTGATGTAATTAGCGATACCACATTTAACAGTTAATCAGCCAATACCGTATATTTGTGTATTGAAAGAAAGAAAGAACAAGATAACAGATTTTGACTCAGCTTTTTTGTGTATTAAACAACTACTGAAAAATTTCAACTACATCAAATTTCAAAAGACACAAACCAGAAATAATTCTTAACTATGGTGGACTATCATAAAGTTACTTTTGATACACCGGGGGACAAACTGAGCTGAGAAAAATGTTACCAAGTGGATGAAAGACACATTAACTTCCACACCTTAGAAATTACTAAGAAAGCAAGCAAGGGACAGTTAAAATGAATATCCAATGGAGGATAACATATTTTACAGGACAGTAACACTATGAAGAGGTTCAGTTTTCCTCTTACAAATGACATACTTGAGAGTAACAGACATTTCCAGTGGCTCAGAAAACAAATCTAACTGACACTTAAAATGAAGGAAAGTGTACAGGTGTTTTTTAAAAAGAAACTTTATTACAAATTTGTAGGTTTTAAGAAAATATCCCAAAACTGTCAAAGTAGTATGAAAAATGCTGTCATCCTATTCACAGTTACCAGTTTTCTTCAATAAACATAACATATAAAAAATGGATAGAAACCATGGCAATTCCATTTGGTGACACAAGCCAAATATTTGTAATTCTAAATCCCCTGCTGACAACTAAGATGCTGCTGGCAGCCCAAAGGAATGATTAAATAGCAGTTTTTGAAAACTGGAAGTTTGGATGAAAAGGCTATATACATATACACATATTGTATTCTACCATATGTACAGGTAACTCAGGGCAAACAAAACATGGCCCAGCACCTGAATTCTATAAAAACCTGGAGAGCCAGAGAATATGTATATGGTAATAAGTTATTCTCTATGCTCTGGTTCCCATTTTCTTTTACATCTCAAGCCTTATAAAGACCAACTGTTTTCCATTCTCATTTACAGAATCAGTGAAGCTGATGTGTTACTGTACTGTCTTTTCAGACACAGAAAATGTTAGTTGCACTGCATGCAGGCATGTGATCTAAAAACGCAACCCAGTTAAATAGAATATAATTAAAAGTGAGACTTTTAGAAGAATATAGACAGGCTTTACTACAAGGGACCTAACACCTTTATCTCCCCTGAAATTGAAGTGCAGACTGCTTTAAAAAAGCAGGAAGCTTGCAAGTATGCCACAGGTTAAAACCAAACCTGACCTACAAGTCTAACTCTAGATAACTGGCTGCAATGGTTGGAAGCTGCAGCATAGACCATTGGTAACCATATTCTCAAGTCCTTTAAACTGCACAGGACCTAAATGCCACAACCCAGAGCTGCAGTACAGAAGAGGTTTTAGTGTAAGAAGTATGAAGATTTTAAAGGACCGGGATGAAACATTTCTAATAGAATACCTGCTCAAGGTGCTGATATGATCTGTAAGACTAAAGAAAAATTAAAAAAAAATAGGAAAATGCAAATAATTCTGTGTAATTTAACTCTGTTTTTATCAGGTGCTTGAAGAGCCTTAAGCAGAGGACATCCAGGATTTCCTATCAACCCTTTTGCCAACAGCAACTTAGAAGAAACCAGCATCACATTATAAATAACTACTTGGTTCAGTTCATTCAGGTTGCTGTTTCAACTTAAGTTGAAAAGCATAGAATCAAGAGTTATTAAAAAAAAAAAAAACAACAAAACAAACTTATGCTACAGAAGAGCAATCAGAAATCAACAGTCTCTCACCACCAGAGCAAACAGGATGAAGATACAGAATTGAATTTACAGTTGTTTCCTTCCCCATAAAGGACAGATCAACCCTAGGTTAATCAGGGCTACCTGGAAGACTTCTTAAAAGCCACCTGTTGCAAAGGAGGTTGCCTCATTCTTCTGCATTTACTGAAAACTTGATTTCTAAAACACTGTAATAAAACAGTTAAAAATCTTCAAAGAAGGAAAACATTTCATATACATTCTTAGGAGTGAACCTTCAGGCTTGGGAAACGTTTTTCTAGATTATCAGCAAGTGTCTGATCAGCCTCACGCAGAACTCCAAGGAAACTCTCCACCTGGAAATAAATTGCAAACACAAAAAGGGAAGGAGAAAGGGAAGACAAAAAAATAACTTGTATAGGACACAATATTATTACACTTGGTATAAGGGGTCTTTCTATTTCTGTACCTTCCCACCAACAGCAGCCAGCAGCAGCCACTGCAAATAACAGTGGATAATGTTCCACATGCCTGCCTTCTAAACCCCACAATTTCAGTTGGTCTAAACTTTGAAATATTACTGCCTTCCCCAAACTCTTCTTCTATTGTTTAGAAGTACACAAAGAAAACCTCCCTATAAAAAATACTTAGAATAATTATTCTATAAAGATATACAGGACAAATTTTCAGCTAGCATAAATTTCAGTTATCCATTCATTTCAACACAGTCTACCCTTACATCAGCTGATGATCTAGACAAAGTTCTGGCTGATGGTAAGACTGTCTAGAATGGCATATTAGCTGTGTCCAGGCAATTCTGTCCTACTCCTACATCTGCTCTGAAAGATCTTGCCACCCAAGCAATATTTTTTCACTTATGTTGAAAGTCCTTGTCAGATACTCACTGATGCAAAGTACAGAGGTAAGAGGTTCTGAAATGCACAGGAACATGTCTGCTCATTTAAATGTCCCTGGTGTAGCCCTTCTAATGTATTCTCCTGGAAAATAAAAAAAGAATTAAAACTAGCATGTCATGAACAGCTGTGAAAGAATAAACTCAAAATGGTGCACACACTATCTACAGTATGTGCTTTGTTCTCAAAAATGGGTAAAACCACCAGAACTTTAAGAGTTCCTGGAGAATATCAGCCATAACAAATACAAAAGGTCTGAAAGCTCAGATCGTAAGACTCTTAATCTGAATGCTCCCATAATAAAAAAGTCTAGTGGAGAACACAAATTTACATATTCTTCTTCATATTCAGATTCTTACCTTTTCTTAAATAAATTGACTTTCATTCAAACAAAAGGGCAACATACACCTACAGAATTTATCACACAGTCTTGACCCTAAAGGCACACATCTCGGAAAGCCTGTGTGTCCCTGCCATCTAACACATATTGTGCTACCCACCTTCTGATTAATTTCCTAAAGAATTTTCAGTATGCAACTTCACTTGCACGGAAAAATACTCACATTGATAGTAGTGTCTCTTTTCTTACCTACCCTGCAGAAATCATTCTCAGAATTAGGTTTATCCTTACCTTGGTCAATTCTTGAAGCATATTGGAAAGTAATTCACAGCAAATGTCCTTCAAAATTTTTAAATGGAAATCTTTGTCATTTACATCAGCTCTTCCAGTCTCTTCCTGTTCAGACTCCTTTGAGTCATCACCAGCTCTCTTCCCACAGCCCTCCATGTATTGTAAGATACGAATCAAGCTGCCAATCAGAGGCATATCTAATACAAAGTAACAAGAAAATGGAAGCTTAACACTGAAAATTTTTCCCCGTCTTTTCAAGGCATTAAAATTTTGAAACACACCACCAGATTTTATACAAAAGAAATGTGTATACTGACATTGTTGTGTATTATCACTCAAAGACTTTTTAAAGAAGCAAGCAGAAATGTAGCAGAAAATCCAAACCATTTTTAATGTGAGCTAACCTTTGTCTATAAAACATATTCCAATGGTAAGGAATATGAGAAGGAAAATGTCTCCAGTAGTAACTCAGAGGCTAGAATGTTAAATTTGCATCCAGGTAATTCTGTCTGATAAACCAAACTGCCAATGTCTTTCTCCTGCAGATGACCCTGATTCCCATTCCCAAGGTAGGCTTTCAATTTTAAAGACCTGACAAGGTACTGAAAAGTAACAAGTGATAAAGATGGACTTAAGTGCAGGATCTCCCTCCGCTAAAAAAAAAAAAAAAAAAAAAAAAAGGAAAACAAACAACTAGAAAGCACTCATATTTCATGAAAGAAAATAAATTTCATTAATTTCTAAATAAACTTCATTAATTTATAAATAAATTTCATTAATTTATAAATAAATTTCATTAATTTATCCAATGGAGAAAATTGAACAGTATCTGTAGAGTCTATTACTATAACTCTTCAGACAGATCCAGTAACCAAACTTTGAGCTAGCTGTGATTTTTACAGTTACCAGCAAAGAATTTTACTGTATTCAAACAGGTAACAGAATTCTGTGTTCTGTTAGTAATAAACTAATCACCCTTCACCCCACATAGAGTCAATTGTGAAAATAACTGAAAAATAACCCTAAAACAAACCCCCAAACCCAGGAAAAAAAAGCACAACTTGCTTTTTCTCATCTTGGTGTATTCTTGTTCTGTCTGTGAAGCAAACATAGCAGAAAGTACAGACAAAATAGAGGCCAATACAGTCTTCTGCTCCTGCACAACGATCGCTGGATCATCTGGCTGGCAAAGGTCATGGCAAATGAGGTCATACAGCAAACTCCAAGTCTCTTTTCCTCTATCAGGAACCTGCACTTCAGAAAGAAAGAAAAAGAACCCACCAACCCAACAGATTTAATCTAGGTAGATAAATAATTTTTCTACCCATCAAATATCTGATGACCTAGAAGTCACTGCCATTCTTGGTCCCATCATATGTAGCAATTCAAGTGTCTTACCAATTGCCTGAATACCCTCATCCACTGTGGTCAGGAGCTGCAAAATATGCATATAAACATCAAGTCCTTCCGGATTATCTGATCTACACAGAACAAACAAAAAACAAAGATTATATATTCTGTGTGTTTTGGACACACAGAAGACTATCAGGAATCACTGCCATTCTTTTTGCTAACAAACTAGTTGATTCACTTCAAATTGTAAGTACAGGAAAATGTATTCTAGTGACCTGTCACACTATGCAGCTCCCACTGAAATAAAGAATTCAGACACAGGCCTTAACAAGGTTATAAGGAGTTTCCTCAGCCATGAAACCGTAAAGAAATCTCACATACCGGACTTGTTTGGCTGCTTCAAGTATACAAGGCACAATCTTAAAATCTGGAAGTTCTTCAGGGGAATCATCTACAGATGGTCCCACCGATGGACAAGTGCCATTTTTAATCCAGTTCAACATTAGCTCTTCATCTAGATCAAAGAGTTTGTCCACCACTTCTCCTACTTTTACCAACAATTCAACTGCACAAGAGAGAATATATAAATTTCAATAAGACTAAAAACAGAAAGCAAAAATTAGCTTTCAAAGTTCTAATATACAAAAGTATTCAGAGTAAATTCAGCTGAAATATATTAGTTTCTTTCATGGCCTACTGAAGATTGTTACTCTTTTTTGTAGCACAGATCAGGTGAAATGCTTGATAAATAGAGATTGTTGGAAAGTGCAGTGACTTCTACTTTATCATGCCATTTATGAAGCAGGAACTTTATTCTGCAAAATAAAATCACATTCCTGAAAAGTCGTAACTTCTGCTACAGAAGTAAAACTTTCCAAGATTTGCTGGAAATATGCAGTTTTCTGCTAACCTTATACCTGCCAATCTGCATTTTACTTAAGTAGGTCTGTGACTGCAATTGGATGGAGCAGGATTCCTGAGCATTCTCAGGAAAAAGAAAACACAAAAATTTGAAAAGAATAAACTATTAGGATTCCTAGACAAATAATAACTGCTGTTAAAATGGAGTTGGATGCAAAACATAAATGCTATTCAAATTATTTCCATTATTAGGCGCTTAATGGGTTTTTTGCTGAATTTTTTCTATGACAGATTTGTGTACCAAAGCCTGTGCAGTACTCAGCTGCCATTCAGGGTAACTGAATCATTTTTCCAGTTCACATTCCATATATATGTTTCCATATATATCTCGACAAAGATATACACATACATACATAACTGATTTTGAAAAAAAAAAAGAAAGAAAAAGAAATTTAAATAAGGTCTTTTTCAAGATCAGAAATGACATCTGCATATTCCTGAATGAGGACAATGTCCTTTCCTTTACTGTGACAAATAGTTATTTCTTCTATGAGACTTATTTTGATTCCCCCCCCCAGAGCTTTTTGTCCTCTATTTTTTTTTCCCCCAGTTGGTTTTAGGTATATCTGTGACCCTACAAAGGCAGGACAATTTTATTTTGGTATCCTTTAAATTCATGAGCTTTATTTGAAATTCTGTACTCCCAGTTGAAAATCTGGCTTTGAAACTGCACACTTTGGTGGTTTGTTTGGGTGGGGTTTTTTTTCTGCAAACACCCACTAATTCCCGGCTTGTTTTGGCAACTTACCATTTGTAGAGCTGGACATGATAAAGCACACACAGTCATACACAGAAGGGTTCTCTCGGATTCTCTCAACCCAGATATTGGCCACCTCAGGCTGGGAGAGGCAAGTTAACAACAACCTAGACAAGAATTGCCCACTTAACAAATTAGAAGCCAATTCGTTCATTTTAGCTGTACAAGTGCAAATCCAAAATAATGAGAACGATGTGACAGAAACATTGTCAGTTTTCTTACCAGGCCTCAGAACATAGCAGAGCTACACTAATGATGCATCAAGTTCTGAGATGTCCTACCTGCTTGTTTCCAGAAGAGTTGGGGAGTCTGTATCACACAAACGTTGCAGTAACACCTGGCTTTAAAGAGAAAACACAAGACAAAAGTTAATAAAATGTGTTTTTTTTAAAAAAGGTTACAAAAAGGTGAATTTCATAGGTGTAGTCATCTTCTGAGGTTAAACCCAGCTTTTCCTGACTGTGCACATATTTCCAGTGTTTCAAGATTACCCAACTTAGAAATTAAAGATTCAACTTCACTGTTGATTAAAAACAAACAAACAAAAAAAAGTGGTCTGTATCCTTTTTTAATTTCACTGAGCACTTCCTACACAAACATGGTCAGCCTAAAAGGTGTGAATAAACACGAGGGATGGCAGGCAAACTTAGTTCCTTCTTTAACACATATTTCATGATTCTGAGTCCAGAAAAGCAGCACCATGCATATATATAGCACATACACACTTACCCAAGATTCTCATCTTTACTAATGGACATGCATATGTCTTGGAAACAGGCCATATTTCCTAATATTCCCACACAGATTTCCTGAAAAGTCAAAACACAGTATAATGAGGCAACTGCAACATAGTTCACAATTTCATTTCCACAACAGTAAGACAAAGGTAAGAGAGATTCAAAGACATTTTCCAGTTTGATTTCCAAGTTCTTCTGATGCACTGATTCCAAGATGATACAGACTTTTCTACAGGATGCCATTAGACTGGCATAAAATATACTCAGGACAGGTACTACTCACATATTTAGGTGTTAAGGTGTTCCATAAAAGTAAATATATCTTGAAATCAATTTTGCTTGCATATTCTATGTATATTGTTTTGATGATAACCTGGCATCCCTATTATTAAAGCAACAGAGAGGTGCTCCAGTTGCTGGGGCAGAGATCCCACTGTCATCTGTGGTGGAGACCATGGTAAGGCAGGCTGTTCCCCTGCATCCCATGGAGGTCCATGGTGGAGCAGATATCCACCTGTAGACCATGGAGGACCTCAGGCCACAACAAGGGGATGCCCAAAGGAGGCTGTAACCCAGTGGAGAGCCCACACTGGAGCAGGTTTGCTGGCAGGACTTCTGACACCATGTAGGACCTATGCTGGAACAGTCTGCTCTTGAAGGACTGCACCCCATGGGAGGGCCCATGATGGAGCAGTTTGTGAAGAACTGTAGCCCATGAGAAGGACTTATGTTGGAAGTTCATGGAGAACTGTCTTCCATGGGAGTGACCACATGCTGGAAGCACAGGAAGAGAGTGAGAAGAAAGGAGTGATGGCAGAAATGCGTGACGAACTGACTGCAACCCCTGTTCTCATCCACCTTCGCTGCTCGGGGTGGGAGCAAGGAGAGAAACCAGGAGTAAAGTCAAGCCCAGGAAGAAGGTAGGGGTGGAAGAAGGTGTTTTAGGATTTGGCTTTACTTCTCATTATCTTACTCTGATTTGGTTGATTATAAATTAAACTAATTTCTCTGAGTCTTGTCTTGCCTGTGACAGTAACTGCTGAGTGATCTCCCTGATCTTATCTCAATTCATGAACCTTTTTACTGTATTTTTCTCCCTCTGTCCAGCTGAGGAAGACAGTGATAAAGCAGCTCTGGTGGGCACCTGGTGTCCAGCCACAGTCAATCCACCACACGTTTGTACGGCTGACTAAACAAATTCATGACCATTTCTGTTGAGTAATCTTGAAACAATAAGGAAATAAAAGGGCACTCTTTCCTGGGTTATATAACAAACCTTATAACTAGGTTTCATGAACTTAGTCCATCATAATAACATATATTAGCTTCAGCATCACTGAAATACTTACTGATTAGACTCTATTAAAAATACTGAAAAAAAGAATTTTAAAATTTGATTTTGCATTTTCTTCTTGTTCCCCTAAGGTATCCAAGCATGCAGTGAGAGAAGGAAGGAGCTACGTGCAAATGCATGTATACACCTATCTACTACTGCTATTAATATGGGACAGCTTTTTGACATACCATACTTACAGTAAGGCGAGGGCATTTTGACTTGGCAAAAATTCCCATGAATATATCTGGGGCACTGAACTCCTGAAGAAATAAAGCGACATCCTGTGGAGAAAGTGAAGGAAAAAGTAGACTTCTCCATTTTCAAAATGCAAAATCAAACCTTTTCTAACAGCACAAGCCCTGGATCAAAGAGATGTCAAACTCGCTAAAAGAGATCAATTCTTTCCCAATAGTTAATACCAATAATCCTTGCTTCTCAATGAAACAAGATCAGCCAGCCTCTGTGATGATTCAGAGTGCCATTGATTTGCTATACAATGGGCCAAAAAGTCACATTTAGTGTCTTTTGCTCTCCGTCTTAACACAGGGTCAGAGACACCAATTTAGAATTCAGCAAACATCATGTTTTCAGACAGTGACATGATGTAGACATACAAAATGAAACCAGGGTAGGGATTACCATTAATACTTGATCAGACCATACAAAAGAGTAAAACTGCTTCACATTTTACCATATTAAAACACAAGATTAGTTCTCTACTTGTGAGCAAAGGACACATCTTCCACATTTATTTAAAATATCCAAAGAGCTAGGAAATAAAATCATAATTACAAATGTATGTGTATGTCTTACTTGAGAACTGGATCCAGCATCTGAGAATGTTGAGAAAAAATACCAAAAAGTTATGTTACATTGCCACTGCAAGTCTCTGGCTAAACTTTAAAAGGTTGCTTGTCATTCAGTCATTCTTACCAGCAAGATGCATTATAATTACTAGAGGAAAAATATACCTATTTAGAGATGGCCTCAATATTATCTCTATAATCAAACCGATGAAGGTACAGGCTATGGACCTGAGTTAATTCCTGCTACAGCTAAGCTGCTGTTTTCTAGTAACACTGAGCTTTGGTTCAACTTCTGAACATGATTTTCTGTAGAACACCAACAGGTGTGAATACGGTCCCATTTAAGACAGCTGACCCTAAACAACAGCACTGCAGGATCTATTAGACACCTGGAGGAAAGATGGGACAGACCACCTTGTTTCTTTTATATTCAAAGATATATAGGCCTTACATCCTCAAACAGCAGCATGGGCCCCAGCAGCTAGTACACAACAGAAGGCCTGCTTCTGCAAACTAGTGCTGGGTTTAAGAATGTACACAGCATACTTGCTCATCTAGTAAAGCAGCCTTTGTGATGAGAGTGCTTGATGCCAGTTCAGGACACCTGCACTGCGTAATAACTCACATGACACTATCAGCCTAAACAGAATAATCAGTACCATCAAAATCAGAAAGCTGGACGAGTCTGTATAATTCTGTGCCTTCTCCCACTTTCAGAAGGGCTCTGAACACACAGGGCAGAAGCCACCCCCAGCTATGAACCACCCTCGAGGTCTGGCTTCCATGTATCGCTCCTACCTCATCCATCGACATGTCCCACACTTTACAAATGTCATTCTCCAGCTCCTCGTCCAGCTCCGTTTGGATTCCCTCGGGACTTACGATGGGCTCCGTCTTCTCAGGGCTAATGACCTGAGAGAAAACAGTGGGGGGGGGGGTGCACTGGGGATATGGCAGTATGCACGCAACGACCGAGAAAAGCCATGGATCACTAACAACGACCTAACCCTTCAGTCAGAGTATAAAAACCATAATCAAAACCTAAACACACAAGCAGGAAGCCTACTTGTGTATATCCCCGTGGAACCGGTAACAGCCGCACCACACCCGCGAAACGCTCACCGCTACCGGGCCCGCCGCTCTCTTCCCTCCCTGCGCCCCCACCCCGCCGGGCCCGCACCTCGATGAGGCGGGTGAGGATGCTGAACAGCCAGTGTTTACTGTACACCGTGTTTCCCACCGCGTCCTCCTCCTCTTCCACCTCGCTGGAAGGTGGCGAGGGGTTACGGTTCATGGCGGCACACCACCACCACAACGACTACCTCACCGGCGCCAACGAGACGGCCGCGGCGAGAGCGCCGCCTGGGCGGCACACCACAGCGCCTCCTGCCGGGCCGGGACGCCGGGAGGCTGCGGCCCAGCGTTAACCGCAGGCCGTCAGGAGCCCTCCCCGCTCGGCGGCCGGGCCGAGTTCCTGACGGTGGAAGCCGCTCGCAGCTGGAAAAGCAGCTCCCGTGCTCCCAGAGCAGCCGAAGTGCCAAGGGGCACCGCCGCGCCTCGACAGCGCCGGTAGCCACCGTGATGTCCTGACACCGCCCCAAGAAGCGACAGTTACCCTGGTTCCCTCGAAGCCAGCACTGTGACCTGAGGTCCCCACACCCCACAAGGTAAGGCAGCATCGAGGGGGGACAGTTTGCAAGAGAAACTCTTTATTTGGATGCAGAGAAGAGGTGTAACAGGGAAGCAGAGAGGCTCTGCCGGGCTGGCATTAGTATTTGCTGGGAAGGCCAGCAGGTCTGTAACGGTTGGGATCGCCGCCGCTTCTACCCCACCTATTGGCCTCTTGGTCAGCTCGGGTGTCTTCTGCACCTCTGCCACTCACATCGCTTTGCCATTTTTCTCGGGCATCACTAGCAGGAAGAAAAAAGGCCATGTAAACCAATCAGTATGTAACCACGCTTTTTGATTTCCTCACTCATGCAAAACTAGCTTTTCCACAGTGCTTCTCAAAGTGAGATCAAGCATATATTCAGTCCTTGTCTGAGAACCACAGTGGCATCCATAACTGTTATCACAGAATAGTTTGGGTTGGAAAGGACCTTAAACATCACCTAGTTCCAACCCCCTGCCATGAGCAGGGACACGAGGAAAGAGCTCCTTATCACCAGAAACACAGAGGTAAGGTATCTCAGGAAGACAAGAAGAAAGGTTCACACTCATGTGAAGGAGAGACACCGTTCCTATAGAGACAGGCTCCACAGACATTAACTACTTCCCCTCCACTGTCCTAGGTCAAAAGCTGAGTACAAGTCAAAAAGGATGTCACTCTAACTGGAACGCCTAGATCCTTAGTAACCTGTGTTAATGACACAAATATGCTCCATTACCTGATCACTCTTGCTGCCCAGGCACCACCAGGTCCTCTTTTGGCAGCATCATAATTCCCACGAGCATGGAAATACTTGTCAGCACCTTTGTAATTTGCCTCACGCATGTCCCGGTATGCTCTGTACATATCCCGTGCCCCTGAGCAAAGCAGAGAAACAGCCATGATGTTGACTTTAAAGTGTCATCCCAGAAATAGTTAAGTACCATTTCAGCCAGGAACTGAAAGGCCCTAGGAGCAGTAACACAGAGAAGCACTTCTCCACACTGGCCTTTGCACAGGGGTATGCCCATGGAAAGGACCTGTGGGGGATGATCAAGGCCTTCAGCAGCAGCAAACAGCAGGGTCGCTAATGTGGAGCTGTGGTCCTCTCAGCTCCGAGGAGTAACAGCAGCTTACCTCCCAGTGCATCCCAGACAAATCGTCCACCTCGGGCTAGTGGTGAGTCAGCACTTGCACAGAGAATAATGGAGAGCAGAACGAAGCAGACACAGAGCCTCATGGTTCCTGGCACAAGCCTGACACAGAGTTGTAAGACAGTCAGAGAGATGAAGAGTTCTGGAGCACGTTTGAGAGGCTGCTGCCCCAGCATCCATCAGACCCATAGCTGCGCCCATGCAACTGCCCCAGTGCTGATGGCTAGCCCAGGAGCCTGCTCCCTCCAACCCCAAGGAATGATGCCCTCTGTATGACCACAAGCTCAGTTCTGCCACAGAGGCAGATGGACATGAGGAACTTGGATTTTAGCATTCCCTGCTGCTCCTATAATGAATACAGAGAAACCCCACATGCTAAAGCCCTGTTCCAAAATACTAGCTAACAAATTCAAGGAGCTCACAAATACAGAATATCACTCACCACTGCAGAAGGGTAAAGCCAAAGGAAATGAGGCTTGTATTGTGTGTCAGATTCAGAGAGAGTATTTATAAGGAATTCAAACCCCTCAAAAGAGGAAACTGGAAAGGATATTTTTCATTGGTTGGGAATTCCCCACCACCACTCCACTTCCAACAGAGAAATTACAGTAAACCTGTCCTTGTCCTTACTGAAAGCTCATGGTTCCTGTTACACAATTTTTAGAAAGTATGTGGTGTTTTGTCAGCTGTCCAGGAGACTGTTTGCTCTTCATAACAAGCAGGCTGAGCAGCTGCCTCAAGACTCAAGTGTTCTGTCTGCTTGAAGTGTTACACTTGGCTTAAGGGTCACACTTCCGTGCAGCTCTTGTGCTGGACAGAGCTCAGAGGAGTAGGTGCCTGATCATCTGTGCTGTATCATAAAGCACAAGATCAGATCTGCATCTGTGCACAAGGAACAGCCAGTTGCATTACCAAAACTGCTGCAGGAACTGACAAGTGAAATTCCCATGATGGGATAATGTGATGGATCTCAGAGTTGATGGAATGAAAAACTTGAAGTGTTGCCCTTAACTCCATTTGTCCCTGCTGATAATGCTTTAGGATAGCACACACACATGCCACATTAAGGGAGGCCCAAATTGTTCGTTGTGCCTTTGCTTGCTCTCACAGACCCCTCTTGAAGGACTTCCAGCCATCCTGTTGCTCCTGTCAGCTCAGTAGGGCCCAAGTTTACTAAACTAAAGAGAGTTTTTGATGCAGTGGTAAATACTATACCTAAGGGGAAGTTCAGATCTGTGCAGCCACAACTCTGCTAGATTTTAAGCAGTAAGGCCCTGCTGACATGGTTCAGTTTGAGCACCCACTGTGCTCTTTCTACTTATGAGCATGCTTGCTGCTCACTTCCCTTGGTTAATAACTGACACACCATTTTCCCTGCAGAAAGCTCTAGGTTTGAGTGCAGTTGCACTGTAGAATCAATGTGCAGAATGTCTCCACATTGCATGGTCTCATCCATGATTTTAGAAGTTGTCAGGGTCCGACTGGAGAAAAGCCCAGTGCCAGACCCTGTTTCAGTTTGTGATCCCAAGAGTGAAATTAAGACACAAACGAGGTCAAGTACCATAATCAATTAGTAAGTTTATTAATAAAACAGTTACTACAAAAAAGGGAAATTATTGTAATAAAGGGGATAGCGATAGGACAGATTGGAAAAAAAGGTAGAAAAATGAAGCAAGGATTTGGGGTGCAGAGAGAGAGAAAAAGTCACACTGTGGATCCAGCAGTGTCCCGGGGACCCATTGTCATCATCGTAATCGGTGGGAGTTCTTCAGGGTTTGTAGTCGGTATCGGAGCAGAGTGTCCCCCAAGAGTCTGTCGGAGGTGGAGGCATCCTTCTGGAGTCGTCCCCTTGAAGGTACCCTGTGGAGTGTGTCTCATGGAGTTGCCCTCATGGCGATGTCTCATGGAGGGTGTCCCTCAGAGTCTATAGTAGTCATCAGTGGAGAGTGTCCTCACGGAGGTGTCCTTCTGGAGTCATCTGCATGGCAATGGCTCCCTGGTGATGTGCCTCTTGGTGATTAGCTTTTCCCTCTTTTATAATGAGTTGGGGGGAGTACCTCTGTTCTTCATGTCACATATTACATTTTCCTGGTGGACCAGTTTCCCTGGTCTTGCAGCCAGCTCTTCAACTGCACCTGTCTGCACACACATCTGCAGCAGTTCTTGGGATAATGGACAGCAATTCCTCACACCAAGCCTTGAGGTAATGGATGGAAGAGTCTTATCTCAGCTCTTTCCCACTCATCCCTCAAACACTGCATGGTGGAAGAGTCTTACCTCAACTCCTTCCACCAATCTCTGAGACAAAAGATAGGTGAAATCACATCTCAGTTTCTCATACCAATCTTTGACACAAGGGTCAGTGGAGTCTTATTTCAGATCAGTCTCTCGCAGAAGTCTAAGAGAGCTTTTTTGAATTGTCCACAGAAGAGGTGTGGGTAGTTGGCCCATTCACAACCTTGTCACTTCAGACTATTAGCTGCTGGAGATGAAGGGCAGGGATATGAGGTACAAGAGAGGCACTAACCAAGTCAGCTAATAAAGTGCCAGCAGGTAACTTCCTTGGGCATCACTGGACTTCAAACAAGAATTTAGCTTAAGAGCAGAAGCAACATTTTCCACGGGCCTAGAGTGTCAGGACAGATGTTATCTACTACGCTTTATCTCTGAATGGAACAATTTGAGACAAGAATCTAAACCCTAACCCAATAGACAAGGAAACCTCGCAAAACACAGCAGACCAGGCATGTAATTTTGTCCCCACCACATATGATACTGATATTTAACAGTGTAACAGCTCAGTTACTGCAGAGAATGGAGTGCTGTGCTTTGCTGCAATGCTACTCATGACCTAGTGATGACTTATGCCCTTACAGTACATGTCAGCTCAAGTGCCTTTTCTGTTGGCTACAAGTAGTCCCTGTTGCTCACCTCTTTGGTTTTGAGTTAAAAAACAAAACAAACCAAACGAAACAAAAAAAAAAACACAACCAAAAACAACAAAGAAAAAAAAAACACACACAAAAAAATAACAAACCAAAAACAAAAAACCACCAAAACAACCAACAACAAAAACCAAACCCACACACACACAAAAAGCCCTCTGTAAAATTATTCCTATAAGTTGGAGTATAGGCTCACTAACACATACGCTATTTTGCCTGGGGACATAGAACAGAGCATTGCCTTCAAAACTGACTTTGAAAGTTTCCCTACAAGAGCTCAGACATTTAGGACCATAAGGGATATATCTGAGTATTATGATGTGGTCTGAGGTGTTTTCCATTTTCTCCAAACCCAAATTCCTTGCAAAGAGCACAAACATGAAGATAATTGCAAGAAGGTAGGCACTGGAGGAGATCTTTAGAAGATTTTGGATTGCATTCCCTTAACTGGTCTCCAACAAGGAAGGCAGCAGCAGTGACAGTGCTGGACCTCCCTATAGTAACTGGATAAAGCACACTTTGTGCCCCAGCACTGCTTTCCAGTATCCTTCTGGCCTGCATTCCAGGTCACAGCCCTTGGCCCACAGAAACAAGCTGCAGCCAAAAACTTTCACTCTTGCAACACAAATAGGCAAGCCGCCCCTGAGCACATAGAAGGGTTTCAATGGAATGTTCCTTTTTGGCTTAGTACTGAAAGGGGCTGCATGCGTACACTGCGTGAACGTAACACCTATAGTGTACGTTCTGATATAGCTAAAATAAAAAGCAACCTCAAACTGATTACCCTTTAATTCTAAATACGTATAAATGCAAGCTACATTCCGTAAACATTCTGCAATGTAGGTATTTCACAATCCGAGTAAATTTCAGATTGAGCAAGGGGATGAGGTGAATTCCCAGCTCGGGCACAATAACAGATG